AATGACTGATCCCCACTCAAACCATCATCATCATCATCATCAATGGTTCAAATCCGACTACTATCTCCACCACTTCTCCACCCCAACTCCACCCTACCACCACCACATGTACAGTCATCACCACAACTACGACAATATCGACATAAATTACCAAACTACCCCACCTTCTTCACCTCCACTAAAAGAAGCTCTCCCTCTCCTCAGACTTACTCCCTCAAAACAAGAACAAGAACCCTCTTGTTCAGACATGATGGATTACTTCCCCAACAAGAAAGAAAACAACAGCAACAACAACGACGACGACGACGACAACTACGGCGGCGGCGGTGTTACGGTTGCTCTCCGTATAGGGTTACCAAACCCTAGCGCAGCTGATCTTGCTTCTCTGCTATCTTCTTCTTCTGCAGCTGATGATAAAGAAGATGAAGATGAAGAAGAAGAAGAAGCTAATCTATTAGGTTTTATTAATAATAATAATAACCAAATCACAAAACTCAACAAAGGACAATATTGGATTCCGACACCTTCCCAGATTCTCATCGGCCCGACCCAGTTTTCTTGTCCGGTTTGCTGCAAAACCTTCAACAGATACAACAACATGCAGGTATATATATATATATAATCTCACTAGCTAGATTTTCTTGAATTTTTTTTATTTTTTTTTTTTTGAAATGACAAAATTTTCCATGGAAGAAGGGATTAATGGAGAAAAGGGCATGTGGGTTTTTTATTATTTATTTTTTTGGGGTCTAAAGATCTTACCTTTATTTTTTTTATTATAATATTTTTTTTTTCAAGATTGAATTTTTTTTTTATTGCATGGGATGAGGTTCTGAGGTTTTGGATTATTATTCAGTCTGATCTGATCAGACTTTTTGGCTTTAGATAGTTTTTTTCACACATCATTTATGTGATGGAACAACTCAGCCAATGTTCCTTGTGCTTTTATTTATTTTTATTTAATTTAATTTTTTTTTTTGCCATTTTTGAAGTCTGTGCTCCATAAATTGGTAACTGTGTCTGAACTGAAACTTCAACAGTTGCTGCAGAATTCAGATTTATGCATCAAAATTCTTATAACTTCACTGTGTGTTTTGTGTGTGTGTAAAAATCTTTACCCTGAAAAAGCCCATACCTAAAATTTCTCTTTGGAAATTGCACCATTTTTTTCTTCCATTCTTGATTTTTTTTTTTTTTTTTTTTTTTTTTAAATCCATGAAACTAACAGATGACAAGACAAAATAGACAACAGTTGTGTGTGTAAAAAATGGGAGTTTAATTTAGTGAGAGTTCCAGTCATAAATCTTATCCCTTTGTCTGTTTTCTTTTTCTTAGTGAAGAACAAACTAAACATCACTCTAATCTAATAATATAATCAAATGCATTAAGAAAACAATTTTCAATATCAAAACGAATATTCTTTTATGTTACAACTATCCAACAATTATCTGATATATATGTATATATATAGTTACAAACAAAAGCATATATATGTATATATAAAAGAGTATACACTCAACTTGAACAACACTCTTCTTCCTTTCTCAATGGGCTATTACAATCACCTTTCTGATTTTTATTCCATATATTCTTTGCTCTGTGGGCTCAAGAGATTTTCCGATTTGATTCCCCGGCCCTTTTTCTTGATTCCGTTAGTCGAAAATAATGAATTCCCTTCATATATATACTTACTTGCACACATTTTCGTTTCGTATTCGTAAATCTCGATTAGTTCAAAACTAAGAATAAAAAATGGCATCAACGACGATATATCAACACTTGTCACCAAATTCTCGCATCTAATAGTTTCGTTTTGTAATATAAAACTTTAGTAACAACATTTTCCGTAATGATGTTATAATATGTGTCATCAATACTCATAAGATTATTTCGTGTCATATATATATACAGTAGAACCTCGATAAATTAATTTCCTCGCTTAAATAATAGTTTCTTTCGGTTACGATTCGGTAAAAACCTACTAAATTATTAGTTCGATAATTTAATATTTCACTAAATTAATAGAATTTTGCTAGACCCGACTGTACTAATTTATAGAAGTTTAACTGTATATGAATATATATGAATATTCAGATGCATATGTGGGGGCATGGATCACAATACAGAAGGGGGCCGGAATCTCTAAGAGGAACACAGCCAACAGGAATGCTAAGGCTCCCGTGCTACTGCTGTTCGCCAGGCTGTCGAAACAACATCGACCACCCTAGGGCGAAACCCTTGAAAGATTTCCGAACGCTCCAAACGCACTACAAACGAAAGCACGGGATAAAGCCGTTCATGTGCCGGAAATGCAGCAAAGCGTTTGCGGTTCGGGGCGATTGGAGAACGCACGAGAAGAATTGCGGTAAGCTTTGGTACTGCATTTGCGGCTCCGACTTCAAGCACAAGCGGTCGCTAAAGGATCACGTTAAAGCCTTCGGGCATGGACACGGAGCGTACGGTGGGGCCCACGCGGGGTTCGAAGAAGAAGACGAACCCGCATCAGAAGTTGAACAAGATATGAATGATCAATAATATTTATATATTAATTAATTAGTTAATTTTATATTTAAGCAGACTGATGATGTCTTTTAATTTTGTGAATCTTTCTTGATTTTAATTATTATGGCCATGATCATGATTTTATTTCAACCTCTTTTAACTGTTACTTGGTAAACCCTTTTGAGGTTGTGTTTTGATTAGTCCTAGAATAATATATCATAATTAAAAAAACACTTATATGTGATATGACAGCATTATATTATATATATAGTATTAATTTGATCACCTATGTATATATATGTATATATATGTATATATAAATAGGTATTAGAGCAAACAAACCAAAGTTTAGAGA